AAATGTGGCAACTGCTCTTTCTCCTGTGTCAGGAAGCTCGGGGTCCCCTCCAGGATCTGGGTGAAAACGGCATGGAAGGGTTCTGTCCCTTTCCTGAGGAGGTGGCTCAAACAAAGCTGCTCCTCTCTTTTTTGACCTGGATTGAAGGAGAACACTGATTATCTGACTTTTTGCCCCTCTGCTGATGAGGCTGAAGGGCCTCATTCCCTGGGATGCCTCTGCCCTCCCTGGATGCTGTGATGAGTTGCTTCTGCAAATCAGTGGATTAAAACAACTTGTCCTTTAGAAATGCCTAACCCAGCTCTTCCTTGAGAACAACCAGCGGCTCTCTGTCCTTCTGCAGATAAGGAATCCTTGGAGACTGAAACCTGAAGGTGCCCATCTCCAGGTGGGCAAAACCCAGCCCTGCTCTGAGCTGCTGCTCCTGTCTCATGTGGGAGCAGGGCTTGTCTGGCTGAATTTCCAGGAATGACAAAGAAATGATGAACTTAAAAGACAGGCCACGTCAGGGCTGCCTTGGCAGCACAGGCATCCAGCAGTGCCCTCCCAGCCTCTGCCAGGGAGTTTTTGTTTGGGAGAACATATTAAATAAGGGGAACTGCCTGCACTGAATAATCCTGATCCCTGCTGCTGGTTTTCTTCGGCCAAAGTCAAGGTCCCAGGACTTTGGATCCTTCCAGGCTTTCTCCTGGGAGGACAGAAGTGGGTTGCAGAGACTCTTCTTTACAGGTGGTTGTGTGGCTGTAGGAACGTGCTCTCCTCCCGTTTTTCTGTTTCTCCTAGGCAACTGTGCTGTGTCCTCACATCCAGGGATGTCAGACTTGGAAGTCTGGAAGGTTTTAGATGGTTCATTGCTTCCTGCTTATCATGGGTGATGTGTGGAGCCTGCTCCTGTCCCCCCTCCACTTACCCGGGACAGAAGTGGCTGGGAGGACACTTTTCCCATGGCTGTGTATGTGCCAATGCTCACATTGTCCCTAATAATAATAATAAAAGGAATTCTGAAGCAAACCTGGGGGTTCTAGGAATAGAGCCTGGAGCTGCTTCCCAGCCCATGTCCTTTCCCCTGTGGAGCCTGTGCATTGATGCAGTCAGGGATGTACAGCACAACAAAGGAGCTTAAGCGACCTCTCTGAAGCTGTTCTGGGAATGGAAGAAGTGTTAAAATAAAAGTGAGGTTGTCCTGTGTGAGAGGGAAATGCTGGGCTCATCTGTGCCTGGGATAAATCCAGCTGCATCTACAACTCCCTGGAGTCAGGCATGGAATTTTCTTACTCTGTCAGCTCCAAAAACTGCTCTCCTGGCTGACCACTGGGAAAGTGTTTGGATCAGCCATGGAGGATGGCACACCCTGCAGTCACGAGCTGCCACTTTGGTGAGATGGTACCAATCCAGACAGACCTGTAATCTGTTTGCTCTCCCTGTGTCGTAATAATTAAACAAATGAGCTGTGTGTGCTGGGGACACTTGAGCTGCTGGGTTTGGCACTGCCCTACCAGTGTTCTCACTGGATTTATCCTTATAACCTGCAGAGGAGCTTGTTCAGGCTGGTATTTCAGCTTCCTGGTGGTTTGGGATGCTCTGGGCAGTGTGGGCAAATAGGGTGGGCAATGCTCCCTCAGCTCCAGCTCCAGCCCCGAAGGCGTGGTTGGAGCTGAACACGAGCAGCTGTTGTTGGGAAATGTCAGATCTGCCTTGGAATGGGCACAGTGGCAGTGGATTTCCCAAAGGGAGAAAATGTCCTCCTGACTTGGCTGGTGTGACTAGAGCAGGCAGTGCCCAGTGATGCTCTGGAAGAACTTGGCAGGAGATGGTGGATCCTGCTGTTTTCCTGCAGGACATATCCCAAAATCCCTGCTGTTCCAAGTGAGGAGCTGCTCATTTGGCCCCTTATGTCTCCAGCTCTATCTCCTCCTTTTCCAGGGCAGTGATGCTGAAAACCCCTGGCTTCATTCCTGTGCAGGGAAATGGGTGCTGTCTTGTTTTCCCTCCTTAACCACGAATTTCTGGGATGAAAAAATATTTTCCTTGCTCTTAAACCATTGTGCTCCACCCGGTTGGAAAAGCCGCTTCCAGCAGGACCAAGTTTGGGATGGGATTCATGACCGTGCCCTTGGGAGCTGCACGGCCCCAGAGCTCTGACCCGCAGCCCCCGGCTGGGAATGCTGTTCATTCCAATTGCCATGACAGGCAGAGGGATTAGGAGATTTTCTCTGTCTCCTTAATGCAGCTCTGGGCACGTGGAGGGCTCTGGTCACGCACCTCTGCTCCAGAGCCGTGCCGAGCTCCCCGCGCTGCCGGACACAGCGGTAACGTCCCGGGATCCCTGGGGTGGGTGTGCTCGTGGTGCCTTGCATTCGGGTGCTGTTCGTGGTGTTTGGTGATAATTTTAGCCAGGGCAGATTTTGCTAAGCTGGGGAGTTCAGCTGAGCCCTGGTAAAGCCACGGCAGGGATTACAGGGGGTAATTCAGCACTTGGTTTGTTCAGCACTTGCTTTTTCTCTCCCCTTGGATTCAGTCCCTTCATTCTCATGTTTCTAAACCTGCTGTTTCTCTTGCAGGGTGGGGTTGTGGCTCAGAGCTGGCTCAGCACTCACAGCTGGAGCCCTGAAGGGGAGGTGGATTGTGGTGTGAGATGTTGTGGGGCTGGGGAGTGCAGCATCCCTCGTCCCATCCACTCTTTTCCAGGGCATCCCAAAGGAGCTTTGCTCCATGGGACCATGCAGGCAGCACATTTCCCTGAAGGGAATTGCCCTGTCCTGGAGCTCACACATCCTGGATGCTGTGTGCCAGGACAGACCTGCACCCTGGGCTGGAGCACTGTGCCTTATGTTTTTTCCCTCCTGGGTCACCTCTTCCCTGGAAACCTTTCCCTGAGATACAGAAAATTCCTCGGCTAACACTTTAAGCTGTTTTAATGCCAGCAGCTGTTTTATGGGGAATGTTTTTTATACCCTCTGTTTTGATGAGCTGCCAGAGGAAGAGCTTGATGTGGAGGCATGGAAACCTTGTGTCCTGAAATTGCTGATACATTTTTCTCCTTGGAAGTGCCCATGAGCAATACACCAGCATGGAATTAGCACAAGCCTATCCCAGGCTGTGTGATGAAGATTGGTCCCAGCAGTAGACCTTGAACAAATTCCAGCAACATCATTCCTTGTTGGGAAACCTGCCAGCTCCTGCCACACACCCTGAGCACAATGTTGGTACCTGCCTGGAAATGCTTCTGCCCCTCTTATCCCTGGAACCAGCTTTCCTGTGGGGATGGGGGTTGTGGTGGCCTCCAGATCCTCCCTCTGCTCTGCCATAGGGATGGAGGTTTCAATGCCCTCTCGGTTCTCCCTCTCATTTCCTGTGGGGATGGAGGTTGTGGTGCTCTCTGAATCCTCCTTCTGCACCAAATGACCTCAAACAATTGCAGAATCAAACCTTCTATCTCCATTTATTATTCCCTTTCCTTCCACTTATACAAACTAAAGTAGTTTGCATCAGAATCCAACTGGAGTCTACTTACTGGGAGGTTTGGTTGGTGAAGCAGATACTGGGCTGTGATGTGTCCAGGATGGAGGAGCTGGCTGGAAACCTTGCAGCAGCAGCACCCCCAGGAATGCCTGGGATGCTTGGCTGGGTGTGGTGATGGATCTGATCTGTGCCAGTCAGTTCCTGGAAGGGATGCTGGAGTCCCACATCATCCCTCCTGCCCTGCCTTGGAGTGAGCCATGGATTTCATGCCCCTTTCCCTTCCTGAGTGGAATACCATGCTGCTTTTGGCCCATCCATTGGGATTCTGTAGAACTGTGGCTACTTTTTCCTGCCCAAAAAGCTGTACTGGTGCTGCAGCTGCCCCAGCTCCAGCCTGTGCAGATTCCTCCTTTCTGGAATGGATCATTTCAACGAAACAGTTCCATTCTTCTCCCCTCTGAAGGCTGTTTCCTGCATCAAAGCTTTCAGGGAGCTTTTGGGATGGCTGTGGCACAGAAAACCCCTCCTTGAGGCCGCTCTGGGCTGTCTCTTTCCATCATCTTGATTTGTCCAGGACTCCTCTCGAGGTCTCCGTGTCTCGGGGGTGCTTTGTTAATCCCACTCCCCGCCATGACGTCTCATCCCTGTTAAATGGCAAAATGAAATCCTGCAGAGATGTGATGTGAGCAAAGGGGCCGTGCTGGGCTTCTTTGTCAGGATTTCCTGCGTGGCAGCAGGGAGGGGGCTGCAGGCTGGATTTGCTGGTGCTTTCCCTAATTCCCTTTCCCTGGCAGGAGCAGCAATAAGGCCTTTGCTGGCTGCTCACTCAGGGCACAGCAGCTGAGCAGTTGTGGGTTACTTTTCCTCTCTTTTTGGCCCAACACAGTTAAATTTGATGATCTGGTGGAAGGTGCTGGAGCTATGAGCTGCCTCTGGCTGAGAGAAGTGGCTGTTTTGGGGGTTCTCTTCCAATGGAAACATCTTGTCCTGCAGAGGAGGCTGAAAGCCAATGCAATGTCAACTTCTTTTTGTTGAAATGTTCTCTCTTGCTGAGGCTTTTTCCTGTGCTTTTCGTGTCAGTTTTGGAAGGATGTGCAGTGTTTTTAACCTGTGGGATGCTCTGCTCCTGGGGAGGAGCCTGGAAGCACCAGGGATCTGTTGGGACCATCCCAGCTTTTTTGCTGCTGCATTTTTGGGCAGAAATCTGCCGGGATCAGTTGGGGCAGGGGCTCTGCCTTCACATGGGATGTGGGTTGTACAGGGAGTGTAATTCCTGAAGGAGCCTTAGGCAGCTGGGAATGGGTTAAAGAGGATGTTTCAGGGTGCTCTTTTTGTCTTCAGTTGTGTCAAATCTGCAGGGTGACAAAAGCCTGGTGACAGTTGTTCAGGCAGAGAAAGGGATTTAATCTTTGGCATCTGTAGCCTTGTATTTATTGATGTTAATTTTTGTGGACTGAAAGGACCCTCCCTTTAGCTTGGGGAGGTGTCATGCCCTAAGGATCACCTCCTGATTTAGCACTTCTTTCCTTTGCTCCCAGCAAATCCAGTTTGCAGATGACATGCAGGAGTTCACCAAATTCCCGACCAAGACGGGCCGTCGGTCCCTGTCCCGCTCCATCTCCCAGTCTTCCACCGACAGCTACAGCTCCGGTAGGTGCCAGCTCCTTGTCCTCACGTGCTCCTCCCTCAAACCCAGCGTGGCTGCTGCAGTGAATGTGCTGCTCACTCCCTGTGGCAGGATTTGTGCTGTTTGTACTTGGATGCTGAGGGAATGATTCCAGGCACTCCCGAAGCTCAGGCATTGATTGCCAGTTGATAATCCTGTTACCTCTGGGTTGATTTAGAGAAAAAGAGTGCAAAATTCCTTCAGGGCGTTGGCTTTCCTTAGGAGATTGGTAATTTGAGCCATGAGTGAAAGCTGAGAAGGGAAACAGAGCAGAAACCTGAAGGGTAGGAGGTTCCTGATTCATAAGGCCTGGCATAACTCTCATTCCTCTCTTGGTTTAGCTGCCTCGTACACAGACAGCTCTGATGATGAGGTGTCCCCTCGAGAGAAACAACAAACCAACTCCAAGGGCAGCAGCAATTTCTGTGTGAAGAACATCAAACAGGCAGAGTTTGGGCGCCGGGAGATCGAGATCGCTGAGCAAGGTACAAAGTGGAATGTGAGACATCTGGGGCTTGGGGCAGGTTCTGGAGACCAGGAGCTGAGGAGTGGCAATTCCCACTCCTGCTGCAGCCTTGGATATCCTGTTTCCCCCCACAAATCAGTTAGGGAAGAGTGAGATGTGCCAGCACGTGTTGATGCTGTGTCCCATCCATTTTCTAGCAGAGCTCTTGCAGGGTTTAATGTTTTGCTGGCTTTGGATGGACAAGGATTTTGTAATACCGTCAGAGACATGAAAGCTGAAAATCCCAACCCCTTCCTCTGGGGGGTGGTAGGAAGCTGAATTACCATTTCCAGTGGGGTGATTGGGTAACTCCTTTCCTTTTAGAAGAGGAAGATAATCCAGGACATTTAGAGCAGCTCTTCTGAGATGTGGCAGCTTTGTTTTCAAGTTCAGGTGCTTCACCTGCTGCTACAGGGCTGGTGACTGTCTGTAGGTGCCTTCCCCAGGCAGTGCCAGTCCCAGAGCCCTCCTTGCCTCTCTCCTTGTCCCTTGATCAAGTGACAAACGACATTGATGTCTAGGTCGTGTTTTGCACAGACCTGCCAGGCCAGGGCTGAGGAGTTTTCTCCCTGCCTATGTAATAGCTACAGCAGAAATTTTGGGGCTGGAGGTATCCTGGGAATACACAGAGAGGAGCTGTGGTGGAGAGGGGACCCTGCAGACTGAACCAGCATTAAAACCTCTCTTCCTTTTGCAGACATGTCTGCTCTGATTTCGCTCAGGAAACGAGCCCAGGGGGAGAAGCCTTTGGCTGGAGCTAAGATCGTGGGCTGTACCCACATCACAGCACAGACTGCAGTGAGTGGCTGCTTTTTGGGGGCCTGGAGGGGCACATCAGCTTTTCCCTGGGGGAGAAAGTTCATCTCTTTGGAGTGGGAGAAGGCACATTCAGTAGAGTGTTTTGGAAAGATTGTGCTGTTGGCATTTCCCCAGGGCAGCATTTGGTTCCTGTGCCCATCACTGCTGCCCGAGGCCTGGCCTCGTGCTGGGGGCACCCCTGACCCCCTGGGGAATTGCTGACCCCTGAGACACCCCTGACCCCTGAGGCATCCCTGAGCACTGGGCTATCCCTGGTCCCCAGGGCATCTCTGATCTCTGGGGCATCTCTGACATCCAGGGCATCCCTGACCCCCTGGGTTATCTCTGACCTTCAGGGCATCTTTGATCTCTGGGGCATCTCTGACCCCCTGGACATCCCTAACCCTCTGGTTACCCCTGACCCCCTGGGGCATCTCTGACCCCTGGGGCACCCCTGACCCCCAGGGTTATCCGTGAACCCCCAGGGTTACCCCTGAGCCCCAGGACACCCCTGAGCCCCGGGCTGTCCCTGTGTCCCCAGGTGCTGATCGAGACTCTGTGTGCCCTGGGGGCGCAGTGCCGCTGGTCCGCCTGCAACATCTACTCCACCCAGAACGAAGTGGCCGCCGCCCTGGCAGAGGCTGGTGAGTGCCGGGCCCTCGCAGCCCCTCCTGCCTGCCCGGCCTCATCCCGGGGAAATCCTCTAGGCAACTTCCTATTCATTTGTGTCTATTTCATTTTATATTTATATATGTTTTATTCTATATTTATAGATTTTTTGGTAACATCACACAGCATCTCAAAATAAGCCATAGCACAGAATAGAAAACGAATTTTTTATATTGTAAAATTATAAAATTATTGTTTATATTTCCAAACATTTTATACTAGGTATGTATAAATATATATACATTGACATAAAATATACAATATAAACATGTGAATACATGTGTAGTTGTTTATAAAATGCTTATAGCTATTTTATATGGAATATAAAAATATAAAATATAAATGAATACATATAAAATATATTTTAATTTGATATTTTAACCATATTTTAATTAAATTTTATTTATTTTTATACTGTTTATTGTTAGTAGTATTGTTTTATTATTATTTCTTTGTTGGGTTTTTTTTTTGTTTGGTTTTTTGGGGTTTTTTTTTCTATTTCTGTTTTAGGGAATTAATATTTTTGGGGAATATCTTCTAGGCAGGGATGGACAGCTGTGATCCTGATGTGGGCTGTGATGTGATCTCTGCATGGCCCCTTGGCTCTTTGTGTTTCTGGAGTTGGCCAAGCAGGGGAGAGCTCTGCCAAACTCCAGGGGTGCTCCTGTTCTTCCAGGTGTTGCTGTGTTTGCCTGGAAAGGGGAGTCAGAAGATGATTTCTGGTGGTGCATTGACCGCTGTGTCAACGTAGATGGCTGGCAGGCCAACATGGTGAGGAGCCTTCTCCAGCCCTTCCTCTTCCTCCCTTCCACCCTGGAGCTGTTCCTGGGAGCCTGCTGGCCTCGAAAGCACCTCTGACCTCCATTCAAGGGGGGCTCTTGGAGAACAGCAGCTGGGGATGAGCTGGGAGCAGCCTTGGGGATGTCAGGAGCTGCAGAGATGATGTCCTGAGCTGGCACAGCCCAATGGCAAGGGAACAGCTCCTGGTGGAGTTGCAATGAGCCAAGAAATGGAGCCTGATCCCCCCCCTGCAGGAGCTGCCCCAGCCATGCCTTTCTCAGCACAGATGCCATCTGCCCTCTCCCTCCCAAAGCTGGGATCACAGTGGGGACCTTTCTCTTGTCAAAGCCCATGTCCCCCTTGGTGCATGGTCTGTGCTCACCAGTGATGTGTCTGTGGGCCATGACACCTCCCACAGCCTCTCCACTCCTGTTGGCTTTCAGGGCATGGATGTTGTGGCATCCTGAGTTCAGCCTAGTTAGTTAGTGCTGCCTGTGGTCACCTTTCCAGGCTGCAGAGCAATAGCAGAGGCAGGAAATCCTGTTAGGGTCCAGCAGCTCCACACAGGGGTAAGGAATCCCGGTGTTTTGGAGGAGACCCTGAGTTGCAGGCACCTAGGGGAACCCGGGACTCCTGGCCCCTGCCCAAACAGCCCCTCCAAATCATTTCCCCCATCCTGTCCTCAGCCAGTGCATTTCCCAGTGGGAGGCCTGACTGCTCCCTGTTCTTTCTTGCCCGTTCTGTAGATCCTGGATGATGGTGGGGACCTGACCCACTGGGTTTATAAGAAATACCCCAGCGTGTTCAAGAAGATCCGAGGGATCGTGGAGGAGAGCGTGACCGGTGTGCACAGGTGGGAGCTTTGGGAAGGCAGATCCAGAGAGCTCAGGGAGTTGCTGCTGTGTGCTCTGACCTGCCTCTGCCCTCTCCCAGGCTGTACCAGCTCTCCAAGGCTGGGAAGCTCTGTGTCCCAGCCATGAATGTGAATGACTCTGTCACCAAGCAGAAGTTCGATAACCTGTATTGCTGCCGGGAATCCATCCTGGATGGGTGAGTTCAGCTCTGTTCCCCACTGGTACTTCCACACGGGTGGGTTTGGCTCTGGCTGCTTTTAAGCAGAGATCAGGCTCTGCTGCTTTGACCTGGTGTTGGGCTTGACTGATCCCAACACAGGTCTCTCTCTGTCCCCCAGCCTGAAGAGGACCACGGATGTGATGTTTGGAGGGAAGCAAGTGGTGGTTTGTGGTTATGGGGAGGTGAGTTCCGTGAGCTGTGCTGGCCTCTCCCAAGCTCAGCATCCTGCAATTCCCTGTGCCAAGGCCCCTCGCCCTTGCTATTAGGAGTAGATCCAACCTGGTGAACCATAACCAGGGAAATCTTGCTGGAATCTGCTAGAGGATGGAGATCGAGGATTAGATTTCCCAGTTTTCTGCAGATGAACTGGGCTGCACAGCTGACAGTTGCTGGGAGCACTGGCCTGAATTATAACTACCCACGGGTACTTCCATCTGCTGTCCCTGGCCCAGGTTCAGCATCCAGTCTGGCTGTCACTGAGCAGGGCAGGCAGCTTCTCCCTGGGAATAATACTCTGGCAGAGGGAAATTGTAAAATGAATTTGTAACTGATGCTACCCTGGAAGAACTGGAGCTGGGAGCTGCCACTTCCCTTCCATCTGTGCACATCCATGTGGGTGTTTATCTTCCAGCGCTGTGCAGGGACTGGCAGGAGCTGCAAAGGCTCTTCCCAGCAGGAATTTGCTCCCTAATTCACTTAGGCACCAGTGGAGCCCAGCTTTGCTCGACCAGGAGACTGTGCTGGCTCTCACTGAATGCTCTGGGCTGGTGCCTGATTCTCCAGACAGGAGCTGTGTTAGGTGTTGTCTCCAGGGTCTGTTCCAAGCTTTACTGGACTTCTTCACAACAGGAGAGTCAGAGAATCCCAGACTTCCGACCCACATTTGGGTTGGAAGGGAACTCCAAGGACATCCAGTTCCACCCCCTGCCATGGACAGGGACACCTTCCACTAGACCAGGTTGCTCCAAGCCCCATCCAACCTTGAACACTTCCAGGGGTGGGGCAGCCACAGCTTTTCTGAGAAGTCCATTCCAGTGCCTTGCCACCCTTACAGGGAACGATTCCTTCCCACTGTCCCATCTAACCCTGCCCTCTGGCAGTGGGAAGCCATTCCCCTTGTCCTGTCACTCCATCCCTTGTCCAAAGTCCCTCTTCAGCTCTCCAGGAGCCCCTTTATGCACTGGAAGGGGCTCTAAGGTCTTGCTGTAGCCCGCTCTCCTCCAGGCTGAACACCCTTAGCTCTCCCAGCCTGGTCACCCTGAATGGTTTCCCTTTTGGATGTGAATTGGAGTCCCAGTTGGCCCTGCCTGGGTGTGTTCAGTAGACCCGAGGCTGGAGCTGGATGATAAGTGAGGGTCTCTCTGGAAATGTTTTTGGTCCAGCACCTTGCTGGTCACAAAATGGGGCTGAGTAGAGTTGATGCAGCAGAGCCAGGTGTTGGTGTGGGTTGGTGATGTGGAGAGTTGGACTTGGTTTTAATTTTACACTGAGGAGAGGGAGCAAGTCTGAGGTGCTGTTGCAGGAACCCTGTGCTCCCTATGCTGATGTGGGCAGTATGGGATGGAGGATCTGCCCCCTGAGGAGTGCAGGACAGCTCTGAAATCCTGTAGCTTAAAGGAAAGGAAGGGCAGTGTGTGCTCCTCTAGGCTGCCTTTGATTCCTGCATGGAGAAAGGCTCCTGCAATGCTCAGGCTGCACAAACTGTGAGAGCATTGGGTTGGGAAAGCTCCTGCTGTGGACATTTCCAGATGGGGCAGCCACAGCTTCTCTGGACAAGCTGTGCCAGGGCCTCACCACTCCCACAGGGGGGAATTCCTTCCCAATATCCTGTCTAATCCTGCCCTCTGGCACTGGGAAGCTGGTGGCCTTTGAGGGGGAGCTGGGCTTGTGGCAGTTGTGCCACTCACCAGGTACATCCTGAGCCACTCCTGGCATTGGGCAGGTGGCTGGGATGAGGATTTTCCAGCCTGAGATAGGTTTGGGCTGTTCAGGGCAGGGACTGTAGCAGTGGTGTGTCTGTGTCCTGCCTCACTTGGGATCCTTTTGCCTTGGCAGGTGGGGAAGGGATGCTGTGCTGCCCTGAAGGCCCTGGGAGCCATTGTGTACGTCACAGAGATCGACCCCATCTGTGCTCTCCAGGCCTGGTAAGGTGTTCATCTGAGTGGGAGTGTCTCTCTGTCTGCTCTTCCAAACCCTGCCAGAGGCTGGAGTGCAGCCAGGGGATCTGTGGCTCAATTTGGAGAACATGCACCTTGTTGGGGTGTGATGGGAAAGGGCTCAGGCAGATTTCAGGGATGGGGTACTGGGCAGAATGTGTTCACTGGCTGGTTTGGGGAGGCTGCTCAGGCCTCTGCCACACGTTCCTGGCTCATGCAACATTTCCAAGACTGGGTTGGACATCCCAACTGTTACATAGCCTTCCCTTGTGGCACGGGTGTCCCTGGAGGGGTAGAGGAGAGCCTGGTCTGCTGCCAGAGCAGTTTGGAACTGCTGAGATCCCTCGTGGCCTGGGACAGAGAAGGAACAAGCTTCTCCTCCTCATCATGGTCCCTATTCCCCTTTCTTTGCCAGCATGGATGGATTTCGGGTGGTGAAGCTGAGTGAAGTAATCCGTCAGGTGGATGTCGTCATCACCTGCACAGGTAGGGATAGACAAGGCTGAGGAGCATCATTCCCTAGTGGGGTCTTGAGTGAGCTGGGAATGGAGGACATTCCTGGACTGCTGTGTGCTCCTCATTTTCCCCAACAGTTGAGCTCTGCCAGAAGCTTTTCCCCCTGATTTGCTATTTGACCACAGTCCTGGCCCAGAGTAGAAGGGCATCTTGGCCACATGTTCTCAGAGTATTTTGGGATCTCCTAGAGCCTGGTTAATTTATGGGAGCAAAGATGAGAGATTTGGACACTGGACAGGCTCCCCAAGGAATGGTCATGGTCCCAGTCCTGCCAGAGCTTAAAGGGTGTTTGGACAATGCTCCCAGGAACGGGGTGGGATTGTTGGGAGTGTCCTATGCAGATCCAGGCGTTGGACTTGCTGATCCTTGTGGATCCCTTCCAGCTCACAACAGCACTTATCCTGTATGTTCTCTGCTGTCACAGCCAGAAGGGTTTATCCCAGGGAAGCTCATCTGATGTTGCCCCAAGCTGAGCTTCTCTGACTCTAGTTGAGGGAAAGAGAAACCAGAGGGTTTGAGTTCCCACTGCTGTGGGATCAGCTGTGCCCTCTGTGCCTGCAGGGAACAAGAATGTGGTGACCAGGGAGCACCTGGACCGGATGAAGAACAGCTGCATCGTGTGCAACATGGGCCACTCCAACACTGAGATTGACGTGGTGAGTGCCAGCAGCTCCTGTCCTGACTGCAGCCTCTTCCTCCTGTCCTGACTGCAGCCTCTTCCTCCTGCCCCGACTCCATCCAGCCTCTTCCTCCTGCCCTGGCTCCATCCATCCTCTTCCTCCTGCCCCGACTCCATCCAGCCTCTTCCTCCTGCCCTGGCTCCATCCAGCCTCTTCCTCCTCCTCTTTTTCCAGACCAGCCTGCGGATGCCGGAGCTGACCTGGGAGCGGGTCCGTTCCCAAGTGGACCACGTCATCTGGCCGGATGGGAAACGGGTGGTGCTGCTGGCTGAGGTGTGTTGAGAGCTGAGCCATGATGTTTTGGGCCTTCATCAGAAAATCACAGATTTAGCCAGGTGGAAAAGTGCTTGGAGGAGCTTCAGGGCTCAAGAAAGAGTTTTTTAATTTACTTTATTTATTTTTTATTTCCTTTTCTTGAGGGTGGGTGTGTCATACCCCACATGCAGCCACAGAGGTGCCATCTGGCTCCATTCTTCCGAGCTGGGATTCATCCCACTCAGGCAAACCCCGTCTGTGCAGGGTTTCCCAGGTGCTGGGTGGCTTCTCTTCCCACAGGAGCTCTTCTGGCAGGAGGAGGGACTGGCTTTTCTAGGGACCACAACATTCCCCTGCCTTGAAATGAAGGGTTAAGGTGGAAACTGGAGCAGACTTGAAATGCTTTGGTCACTGTGCTCTGGTTCTCTGTTCTCCTGTTTCCCGGTCCCCTGTGCAGGGAGGGGGTGGAGGTGAATCCCATCTAAGAACTCAGTTTGGTTTGGATTTGGAAGCAAGTCCAGCTCTGTGCTGACTCCTCCTGCTTTCTCCTAGGGCCGTCTGCTCAACCTAAGCTGCTCCACGGTCCCCACCTTCGTTCTCTCCATCACGGCCACCACACAGGTCCGTACATGGGTGGGGCCCTGCAGGAGCCTCGGGGTGGGGCTGGTTTGAAAGGAGCTGGGAACACGCTGGGATTGATCCTTGAGATGGCACCACTGCCAGAAATACCATTTTGTCTGGGCTGGAGTTATTGCTGGCGTGGACCCAGTGTTTAGGGTACAGCAAGTTTTGGGAGAGCTTTTAAATGAGTGGTTTCATGGCACAGATCTTGCTGGGCTGGCAAACAGGTTTAAGCTTCCCCCAGACAGATTTGAGCCCTCCTAGGACAGATTTGAGACCCCTAGCGTGGCTTTAATCTTCCCCAGCACAGGTTTAAGCAGTGATTTAAGCTCCCCCAGCATGGGTTTAAGCCTACCTAGCACAGGTTTGAGCTTACCTCAAAGCAAAGCTTTGTGTGGGCTGGGAACACCGAGGGGACTGGTGGCACTGGGAGCATGGAGGGAATTGATGGCACTGGGAGCACAGAAGGGACTGGTGGCACTGTGTTCGTGGGAGGAGGACAGCCAGGCTGACAGTGGGGAATTCCCTTCTCCTCACTCCTGTCGGCCCAAGTGGATGGGGAACAGGACTGTAGTTTGGACTTGGTTCCCAACAGTGGAAGCCAGCACTCAGGGAATGCAGGTTCACCTGTCCTGAAGGAATGACCCTGGTTTTTGGGTGCTGCCAGTTTCTGAGGAGCAGTCCCTCCATTTCCATGTGCCACAGCAGCTGGATGGTTTAAGAGGAGAAGAGCTGCTAAGCCTAAACCATCCTCATGTTTTTCCTTGGAGTGTTGAGCCCAAGATGCTGCAAACAAGCTGGGTGGAATCTCATCCCTGCTCTCTGATCCTCTAGTGGGATTATGGAGACCTAGACAGGGATGTGCCCAGGGTGGGAGCCTTTCCCTCAAGGCATGTTGAAAATGGTTGCACTGTCTCTCCAGCTCCCAGATCCTTCCCTGCTTTGTGAGCTTTGTGCTGCCCAAGCTGGTGGCCATTCCTGACTGTTCCCACCTTATCCCTGTGCTCTCCACAGGCTCTGGCTCTGATTGAGCTCTACAATGCTCCTGAGGGCCGGTACAAGCAGGATGTTTACCTGCTGCCCAAGAAGATGGGTGAGTGAAGGAACTGACTTTTCCCTGGGAAATTCATGTGCCAGCAGTGTCAGGAGAACTCACACCTGGCCTGGGAAACATTTCCAGAGGGACAGTGAGCTCAAGGAAGCCACCAGAGGCAGTGACCTTAGAATAATGGGGGTTATTTGATTTATTTGTTAGCGTTCTGCAGCGTGGGAGGCATCCCTCATCCTGCAGCCTCCCTTCTCTGGGATCTTCCATGCCCTCCTTGTGCCTTTAGGGGCACATTCAGCCCAGGCTTGGGCTCAGCTCTGCTTTGGGTGATGGTGAATCTGGGGTGCTGCCCAGCCAGCCCTTCCACTCATCACCTCCCCGTGTTGTGGTGGGGGATGTGGAGCCCCTGATCCCATGTTCCCTGTTCCCATTCCCAGATGAGTACGTGGCCAGTTTGCACCTGCCCTCGTTCGACGCCCACCTGACGGAGCTGACAGACGATCAGGCCAAATACCTGGGACTCAACAAAAATGGGCCTTTCAAACCCAACTACTACAGGTGAGAACTGGAGCAGGAGCTCAGCTCCAGTTGGTTTGGAGTTCTGCCTCCAGCTCCGGAGTGTCCAAGAGCAGAAGGATGTGGAGCTGCTGGAGTGTGTCCAAAGGAGGCCACGGAGATGCTTTGAGGGCTGGAGCCCCTCTGGGAGAGCTGGAAAGAGAGAGGTTCTAAGAGAGCTTAGAACCTCTTCCAGAGCCTAAAGGGGCTCCAGGAGAGCTGGAGAGGAACTTTGGACAAGGGTCTGGAGTGACAGGCCCAGAGGGAATGGCAGGGTTAGATGGGATATTGGGAAGGAATTCTTGGCTGTGAGGGTGGGCAGGCCCTGGCACAGGGTGTCCAGAGCAGCTGTGGCTGCCCCATCCCTGGCAGTGTCCAAGGCCAGGTTGGACAAGGCTTGAAGCAACCTGGGACAGTGGAAGGTGTCCCTGCCTGTGGAATGAGATAAGCTTTAAAGTGCCTGCCAGCACAAACCAGTCTGGAACCCCATACCTGGGGCATTCTCTTGCCCTGGCACAGCAGCATCTCCCATGTCCCTCACTGTCCCTTCCTTCTCTCCTAGATACTGACGGGACCATTTCCATGAAGGACCAGACCACACAAGGCAACATTTGAGAGATTATTTTTAAAGATCATTTTTATTTCGGTTTACCTTTTTTTTTTTGTTTTGTTTTTGGTTTTTTTTTATTATTTTTGGGTTTCTTTTGTTTTGTTTTTGTTTTCTCTTAACCACCACCAGAACCTGTTTTTACATTTTATCTGTGATTTTAAGGTCAGGTTTT